TAAAATTTGAAATACACATTTTGTTCACTTTTTAAGTTAATGAAATAAAAAATTAAACTGACTTTTGTAGCTTTCACTTACGAGGCAGTTAATACCAGCAGCGGAGGTGAATGAGAACAGAACTAGCTGAGGTGTGGCCGGTGTAAGTGAAGCAGAGGACGGTCAGGAGGGCAGTGGAAGCTGCACCCTTAGCCTGCTCTTCCGCCAGAAGTTCTCTTGGAAGCTCTAAGCTTGCTTATCTGTCAGTCTTAGGGCCATTGGCTCTGGGCCGGAGAGAGCTTAAGGGGCAAAGGGCTTGCTACACAAACACAAAGACCTGGATTTAAATCCTGATACCCACACAAAAGCCAGGTACAGTGTTGTGGGTAAAAGACAGGCAGATCCCAAAGCTGAGTTACAGGTTCAATGAGAGACCCTGCCTCAAAATAATACGGGGAGTGAGAGAGGAAGACACTTGATGTCATCCACTGGCCACCTCACATACATGTGCATGAACACACATCACATACAAAACATGTCAAAACCAATGTGACATCACCTGCTATAATCTAACATCCTAGAGGTCGAGGCAGGAGGACCAGAAATTCAAAACTGCTCTCAGCTACATACATACTCAGTTCTGGGTCAGCCTGGACTACATGAGAAATGGTCTCCAAACAAATCAGACATTGTTTCCACCAGAGTTCTCAAAATGACCTGCACTTGAGCACCTGGAAGTGCACTTTCTTTGAGGAAACTAACTCGGAATGTGATGTGGGAGTCCCCTCTGTGTGCTGTGATTACCATTAATGAATAAAGAAACTGCTTTGGACCTGTAGCAGGGCAGAACTTAGCTAGGTGGGAAAAACTAAGCTGAATGCTGGGAGAAAGGAGGCAGAGTCAGGGAGAAGCCATGGAGCCACAGCCCAAGACAGATGTGCTGAAATTTTGCTGATAGGCCACAACCTCGTGGTGATGCACAGATTAAAGGAGATGGGTTAAACTAAGATGTAAGAGTTAGCCAATAAGAGGCTGGAGTTAAGGGCCAAGCAGTGATTTAAATAACACAGTTTTTGTGTGATTATTTTGGGGCTGAGCAGCCAGGAATGAACAAACAGCCTCCAACAACCGGAATGCATTTCAAAGCACTTGGTGTAGTGGTGGCTGGAGCTGTTGTGGCACCTGTCCTCTGCTCTGCTGCCCTCTTGAACTCTGGCTGTGGTGAGTACCAGCAGGAGGCCTCACTGAAAGCCCACCCTAAAGACATGTAGGGAGTTAGGGGGTGCTCATGGGTCCCACCCCTCCCAGAGGATGTCAGCAGTGGCTGGGGTGGGGCAGTGGTAGTGGTAATGTTTCCTTCTGCAGTGTAGTCAATCATCAGTTACCCATGCTCCTGTAAGGAACCTGTTGTGATGATTTGAGTAAGAATGCTTTGCATGGACTCATCTATTTGAATGCTGAGTCATCAGGAAGTGGCACTACTTGTAAAGGATTAGAATATGTGGCCTTGGAGGAAGTACATCACTGCGGGCTTCAAAGGCCCAAGGCAGGCCCAGTGTCTCTTCCTGCTACCTGCAGATCCAGACAGAATTCTCAGCTACTTCTCCAGCACCATGTCTGCATGTGTGTCAACATACTCCCACCCATGATGTCACAACTAAGCCTCTAAACTATAAGCAAGCCTCAATTAAATGCTTTCCCTTCTAAAAGCTGCTTTGGTCATAGCCAGATGATGGTTTAAATTAATTTAAATTAAACTAAAGGTTTAAATTAAATTAAAGGGTGCAAGCCTTTAATCCCAGCACTTAGGAGGCAGAAGCAGGCGGATCTCTGTGACTTCAAGGCCAGCCTGACCAGGACAGAGTTCCAGGACAGGCTCCAAAGCTACAGAGAAACCCTGTCTCGAAAATCAAAAAAAAAAAAAAAAACAACTTGCCTTGGTCACAATGTCCCTCTCAGCAGCAGGATCCTGGCTAAGACACTAAGCTCACCAAACAGACTTGAGTGAAATCATTATTGCGGACTGTTAGTTTTGCCTGGGGTGAATAGATGTGTGCTCATCTCCCCAAGAAAACCTCACATAATGTTTGCTGCCCGATGTGGAGCACGACAGAGCTACGGATGAGTCTGGGGGTGCATTGTCTCCACTGTTAGTGAAGAGCCGTGCAGCTGAGGTTATCTGAAGGTGGGATGCTCACAGGGTTAATCCCAATATTGTCATCTTTTCAGCATTAGCAGTGGCATTGCCCCTGCCCCAGGAAAGGCATGCAGCTAAGCATTGCCCCTGCCCCTGGAAAGGCATGCAGCTAAGCATTGCCCCTGCCCCAGGAAAGGCATGTAGCTAAGCAACCCTTACGAAGGTCGAATGTCCCTGAGAAGAATCCCAGGGCAGCAAAAGAAAAACACCTCCTCGATGAATGGGGCCCACCCGGTGAGCACAGAGATGCCCCCAAATAGCTAATGTCTAAAGAATATTTTACAGGGCTGGAGAGATGGCTCAGCAGTTATGAGGACTTGCTACCCTTGCAGAAGACCCAGGTTTGAATCCCAGCACCCACATGGCAGCTCACAACCTCCTTAACTCCAGTGCCATGGTATGCAACAGGTATGGCCTCTGTGGGCATCAAGCACATATATGGTGCATAGACACACATGCAGGCACTCACACGAATTTTTAAAGAAAACATACATATCTCACAGTCCTTGAAAGCAGTGTATGTGGGACAGGATCTTAAGCAGGCTAAGATGTCAGTCAGCACTGTGGCCTGTGCTCTGGGCAATAAGACATGCAACTGAGGCTGAGGTATTCCTAGAAAAAGAATTACCTGTATACAGGAGGAACAGACATGTGCAGAGACAGACACGCAGATGTTAGTGTCCACACTGGCCTCTGAGTTGGCCAGAAAAGTGAAAGGGAAAAAAACGAGATGGAGGCATTGACTTGCTCTGCCTCACAGTGGGGTGCACATGGGAAAGTACAAACTAGGTCTTCTGTGTCAGGTGTCCCTTCCTGGAGCCCAAAACTCAGAATCAGGAAGCAGAGAGGGAGTAGAGGGACAGGAGACAGCCCGGGTCTGACCATACACACAGAGGAAGGGACAATAGAGGGACAGGAGACAGCCCAGGTCTGACCGTACACACAGAGGAAGGGACAATAGAGGGACAGGAGACAGCCCAGGTCTGACCGTACACACAGAGGAAGGGACAGGAGACAGCCCAGGTCTGACCGTACACACAGAGGAAGGGACAGGAGACAGCCCAGGTCTGACCGTACACACAGAGGAAGGGACAATAGAGGGACAGGAGACAGCCCGGGTCTGACCGTACACACAGAGGAAGGGACAGGAGACAGCCCAGGTCTGACCGTACACACAGAGGAAGGGACAATAGAGGGACAGAAGACAGCCCGGGTCTGACCGTACACACAGAGGAAGGGACAGGAGACAGCCCGGGTCTGACCGTACACACAGAGGAAGGGACAATAGAGGGACAGGAGACAGCCCGGGTCTGACCATACACACAGAGGAAGGGACAGGAGACAGCCCGGGTCTGACCGTACACACAGAGGAAGGGACAATAGAGGGACAGGAGACAGCCCGGGTCTGACCATACACACAGAGGAAGGGACAGGAGACAGCCTGGGTCTGACCGTACACACAGAGGAGGGAACAGTCCATGGTACATCATGAAGGACACTATGAGAGAAAGAAGTTTGCCTTCAAACTGGCTGGTTTGGGAAAGACTTAACTGTTGGGTACAAGGACTCAGGAAGCCCACGTGGGCCAGAAACAAGCTGAGGCTAAAGGTAACCTTGAACTGACCCCGCCCGCCCCCTTCTTCCTCTTCTACAGGATTAGGATTACAGGCCCGAGTGCCACCAGTCTGGTGTACGTGGTACTGGGGACCAAGCCCAGGCCTAATGCACACTAGCCCAGCATTCTACCAACTGAGCTACACCCAGCAGAAAAACTAAAAGAATGTTTTTATTATTGTGTGTGTGTGTGTGTGTGTGTGTGTATGTGCGTGTATGAGCACGTGGGACATATATATGGAAAGAATGACGTGTGTGTGTGTGCGTGTATGAGCACGTGGGACATGTGTATGGAAAGAATGACGTGTGTGTGTGTGTGTGTGTGTGTATGAGCACGTGGGACATGTGTATGGAAAGAATGACTTGTGTGTGTGTGCGCGTGTATGAGCACGTGGGACGTGTATGGAAAGAATGACTTGCAAGAACCAATGCTCTCCTTCCACCGTGTGGGTCCTGGAGATCAAACTCAGGTTGTCAGGGTTGACAGCAAGTACTTCTACCCACTGAGCTATCCTGCCAGCTCCAGGAAAGACTTTTCATTGTTTCATATTTTATTTACTTGTATGAATGTCCCGTGATGTCCCGTGGGGCAGACTGCAGTGAGTGACGTCCCGTGGGGCAGACTGCAGTGAGTGACGTCCCGTGGGGCAGACTGCAGTGAGTGACGTCCTGTGGGTGCAAACTGCAGTGAGTTGTTGTCTCCCAATCCACACTAATCACGGGTAGATGTGACCGGGTGAACTGCTGTCTTTAGGAGCCTACCTTTCACACACCAGCCTCTACAGAAGTACAAATCGAGGCGTGGGGTTAATAAAATTCAATTTTCATTCAACTATTAGATTTTACTTTATTTTGTGGGAGTTTTTTTTTTTCCTAACCCAGATTTTAGCAAAATTTCAAGTAAATATGGTGAACGAACACAGACTGTGGCTAGTTAGTTATGGGAGGATGGTCACTCTGAAACAGCGTGGCACTGCAAGACGTCCTGAGGTCAGAGAGGGCTCTGTATGTAAGGGCGTTGGCCGCCAGCCCTGACAGCCTGAGCCGGCCCCACCACTTGGTTGAAGGAGAGAGACAACGTCTGTAAACTGTTCTCTGACCTCCGCAAGTGCACTGTGGCTTGTACGCCTGCACCACACATCTCTCTCTCACACACACACACACACACACACACACACACACGAGTATAATAAAAACGTCTTTAAGATACTTTGAGACCAGATAAACATAATCTTTATTAGAGTGTATTGTCGTAATTCTTCTCTAATTCTTACTTTGTCACAGCTATACACGCACAGGAAAGAACAGTCCACACAGGTCAGGACTCTCAAGCTTCAGGCAACAGGGAGTCTGGGAACACAGAGGAAGGGACGGCACACGCAAGTCTGTCTGGTGGAGCACACCAGGAGGACAGGCTATAATCACGTTCTGCAGGTGTGGACAGGGGGCTCTTTCCCCAGAACAGCAGCGATGCTCATCTGAATGACTGAGGCGGGAAATAACCGCTGCACTGTCTGGAATATTTAGTAGGAATTCCGTAACTTTACATGCCTTTGAATATCATTCAGATGCAAACAAATGCTTTGCCTCCAGCCAGACACAAGCTCACACCATTCTCGGTTCTCCAAGTCATGCTGTTATTCTATTTGGGAAAGACGGGCAAGCAGAAGTCAACTCGGACCTTCTCCCATGGACATCACTTGCGCTGCGGGAAGCAGTAACAGGGTTTCTGCAGCAGAAGTGGGCATGTCTGGGAGGTACCTTGAGTTGGTTTTAACAGAATATGGAGAGGAGAGACTAAGACACTTGCTGCCCAGTTTTTAAGGTGAAACAGGAATGGTTGACATTTCAGCATCAAAACCGGACAAATGTACAGCAGGTGAGATGGTATCACCATTTCTGCAGGGAACCGGAGTTGATCACCACTGTGTGCGAGTATTTCCCTAGTGCGGCACCTGCTCGACAGACTGTCCGGAACAATCACGGCCACCTTCCTTGCTGCATCACGCCTTACTGTGCTCGTCCGCGTGTTACTCGGCTGCAGCATGACCTGGACGCTCACACATGAGAGCAGGTGCCTCACAGGTTACAGGGCCTCTCCCTCTCAAGCACTAAGCATGTTCTAGCCAAGCAATAACATTCCCCTGTATATATGCACAAATATATATACACAAATACACTAAAAACACAGAGCTATATAAAACCATACACCACACAAAGCAGAATCAGTAATTTCCTAGTTGTCAGTACCAGAAAACGCATGCAGGTGAGCCCTGCAGAGCAAAGCTTACGGACATCGATTCCAGTCTGTTTGTAGTTCCTGGAGTACAGTGGCATGTCTTCCTACTCAGCAAAATACTTAAAAATGTTTAGATATTGTCCACTGTGTTAGATGTAAATGAAAATGCTCCCTACATGTATGACAATAAAAGCAAAACAGCTTACAACACATTCCATTTTTAATACATCAAAAAGTTTCCAAGGCAACATAGTCATCGCCTATGCCACTGTCCCCAGTGTGCCGCAGAGCGCTGGGAGTGACAGCGGGTGGGGCCATCAGCCAGGGCTCAGGTGCTCTTCTTCTCGTCACCCAGTAGGTTCACCGTAGCTTTCTTAACTGTGGGAGAAAGAGAATCGTATCACAGGCTTTTCCGGTGTGAGTTCCACGCTTCCCTGGCTACTAGAGAACGCGGGAGACTAGGATGGGCACACACGGAGGCTCGTGACCAAGGCTAAGAGGGCTTCCAGGAAATGGACAGAGTGCCTCTTTAGAGCACAAGTCCTCAAGACTTAAGCAGACTTCTTGAAGGTCATCCAGCCTCAATGCTCGTATGACATCATCCCCTGTCCTGTCTCCTTCAGCGATGGAGAAGCAGGAGAGACTGTCATGGTGATCACAGGAGGAGAGAGGGCCCACACCAGCACTGGAAACACCTAGACTTGCTGACTGTGCCACTACTGCCCCCAGGACAGGACATGGCGGGTGAGGTGGAGGTGGGCAGAGTCTTCTGGAAGCTCCAGTGAGACTCCACAGAAGGCAGCCATTTTTGATGGAGCCAGAGTCTCCTCATGACAGCAAGGAATCATGAAGCTGTCATCTCCGGCCAGGTCAGGACACCCTAACTACAGGGCTGATTTCCTTCCTTCAGTGCCCCACCCCACCCCAGAGCTGAGGACTGACCCACCCAGAGCCTTGCCCTTGCTAGGCAAACTCTACTCCTGAGCTAAGTTCCCAACCCCTTCCGTCCACTCTTAATGCAGCGGGCACAGACGGCCCTGCCCTTCCGCTCAGCCTCCTCCAGCAGCCCCTCTCACACACAGCCTAAGCCAATGCCCCGCCCATGGCCCCGTGGGCGGCCCCCATCTGCCCCTGCCAGCCTCTCTGACCCTGATCTTGCTATCTTTCCATGTTTTCTTCATTGCTTCCACTTCCATCCAAGCTTTTTCACAAGCAGTTCCTAGACAAACAATCTACCCTCGGGTTCCCTATGCTACCATTTCAGGTCTGACTCAGGACAGCCTTTGTGACAGCTGATCTTAATTTTCAACTTGACACACCTGGGAAGAAGGAACCTGGCTGTGGAACCGCCTCTAGCAGATTAACCTGTGGACATGTCTCTGGGTACTTTCTTGATTCCTAATTGATCCAAGAGAGCCCCACCCACTGTCATAAAGAAAGGTAGCGCTCCACACAGCCTGGAAGCAGGCCAGCAGGCAGCACTGCTCCCTGACTTCTGCAGCCAGCTCCTGCCTGGGCATCCCTCAGCGATGGATTGTAACCTGTTCAGATAAAACAGACCTTTCCTTTCCCAAGCTGGTTTCTGACCCAAGGTTTTATCATTGCAACAGAAAACCAAATTAGCACAGCCACTTGGTGATGGTTCCCTGCTTTCTCTAGTTTAAAAAGCTGCTCACCTAGCTTCCGCCTCCCAGATGCTGAGGACCAGCCATGTATGGCCACACCCAGCAGCAGAAATGATAAGAACGGCACACTAAACAGGTCAACCTGAACTGATTGCACAGATATAGCTAACTGTAGACGAGACTCTAAAACATCTGCCTGCAGGGGCCGAGCCATTTTTCTAATGTGGTGACTGAAGCTACATGTGTCACTGAGGAAGCAGAGGAATCAGAGAGGACAAGGTGGCCAAAAGTCTGCTGTGTGAGCCTGGGGCAGCACATTTCCACACTGCACCAAGTTGTCCCTAAGCCTCACCTTCTTTAGTGATGGCATCTGCGGTCTCTTTGGCTTTGTCTTTCACGTCCTTCACCACGTTGTCTACCTGGGACTCGTGCTTCAGGAAGACAGGACGGATGATGCGCCGGTAGAGCAGCTCGGCCCCGTTAGACGGGCTCGGGGCCATGCACCACAACAGGAAGCCACACTGTGGGGAGCAGAGCACTGGTGAGAGGGGACCTGGGCACTCTGGGACCACACTCACGGGGACCTGGGCATGCTGGGACCACACTCACGGGGACATGGGCACGCTGGGACCACACTCACGGGGACCTGGGCACGCTGGGACCACACTCACGGGGACCTGGGCACGCTGGGACCACACTCACGGGGACCTGGGCACTCTGGGACCACACTCACGGGGACCTGGGCACTCTGGGACCACACTCACCGGGACCTGGGCACTCTGGGACCACACTCACGGGGACCTGGGCACGTTGGGACCACACTCACGGGGACCTGGGCACTCTGGGACCACACTCACGGGGACCTGGGCACCCTGGACCACACTCACGGGGACCTGAGCACCCTGGACCACACTCACGGGGACCTGGGCACTCTGGGACCACACTCACGGGGACCTGGGCACCCTGGACCACACTCACGGGGACCTGGGCACTCTGGGACCACACTCACGGGGACCTGGGCACTCTGGGACCACACTCACGGTCCCACCACTCTGACATCTCCACTGCATCTCCAGATTTTCTGAGGGCTAACTGGAGGCTTTTCTTAGACGGAGAAAAACCACAACCACTAATGAAGCAGCATGAGAAACACAAAGAGACTGTCTCAAAAGAGAAGGAAGAGGAAAAGAAGGGGCTGGGGATACAGCTCAGGTGCTACAGTGCAAGCCTGGCACAGTCAAAACCTTGGTTCAATTCCTAGCACTGCAAAACCTAGGCATGGTGGTATCAGTCCATAATTCCAGCACTCCACATGGGCAGAGCCAGAGAATGAGATGTTCAAGGCATCCTCAGCTACACAGGGAAGTTAATGCTAACTTCCTGGGATATGTGAGACCATGTCTAAAAGAAATAAATAGAAAAATGAAACAAATAAGAATGGGCGATAGAATTACTGGAAAATAAGGGATATATGAGTAGGTCATAATAAAACCCATCATGCTTTAAAATTTGTGTATTGCATACGATTTGAAACACGGTGCATGTGTGTGAGTGCAGTGCACTGTGGAGGGCAAAGGTCAGCATTCAGGAATCAGTTCCCTCCCTCTACGGTGGGTCTGTGAGTCAAGTTCAGGCTGTCAGGCTTGCACAGCACTGTAAGCCACTGCACCATCTTATCAGCTGAAATCCTTTCTCCTAACATGAGTACCTGCTAATAAAAACCAGTACACGGAGGCAAGAGGGCTTGCTGCACAGTGTGAGGGCCTGAGTGTAGATCCCCAGCACCACGTAAGGCTGGTGTGCGTGTGCGTGCGTGCGTGCGTGCGTGCGTGCGTGCGTGTGTGTGTCTGTGTGTGTGAACACATGCAGGTGAGCACACACCCTACACACAGATGCACACACACTCAGCAGCAAGCTGAGGACCACTTCTAACATACAAGTTTGAGGTCAGTGTGGAATATCCTTTTCCACTGTGAATATATGTCACTGTGACTGGTTTACTAAAGAAGCTGACTGGCCAATAGCTGGGCAAGAGAGACTGGGTGGGAGAGCCAGACTGAGAGAATTCTGGGAAGAAGGGCGGAGTCAGAAGAGTCACGAGGAGATGCAGAGGAAGCAAGACCTGCTGGAGGAGAGGTAAAGCCACAAGCTAAGTGGCAAGACATAGATTAAGCAAAATGGGTTAATTTAAGTTATAAGAGCTATTTAGTAATAAGTCTGAGCTATTGGCTGGGCATTTATAATTAATAATGAGTCTCCATGTTGGTTATTTGAGAACTGGTAGGCAGGAAAGAAAAGTCTGTCTACCCAACGTGGGGCAATGTAGATCCACATAAAACCTGATAAAGCTTTTTTTTTTTTTTTTTTTTTAAAAAAAGGATTCTGACTAGGATCTATTCCTGGTGCATGAGCTAGCTTGTTGGAGCCCACTCCCTATGGTGGGATGCCATGCTAAGCCTGAATGCAGGGGAAGGGGGGCTTGGTCCTGCCAGAACTTAAATGGGCCAGACTTTGTTGACTCCCCAAGGGAGCCCTTACTCATAGGGAGGAGTGAATGGGGGGGGGCAGGCTATGGGGGAGGTAAGGGGAAGCAGGAGGAGGGGTGAGAGGGAGGGAGGGAGAACTGTGGTTGGAATGTAAAATGAAATTTAAAAATAAACTTTAAAAAGGATTCTAAACACACAAAAGTTGAGTTAAGTGTGGCTTCTCAGTAACTGCCTTTTCTCAGTAGGTTCTCTTTGCTAGTGGCAAGTAGAGGCAAGGCTGCTTTAAGAGATGGCTTCCTGGCTCACTGCTAGCAGCAAACACAGGCAAGGCTCTTTGAAGAGGCCCTGCTACTGAACACGTAAGTGGGTTTATAAGCAAGAAGGCAGTGAGCTACTTGGTGGAAGTGTGGACCCAACAGCTTCCCAGAGCTGGGATGGTAAACGTGGCTCCTGCTGATACCTCCACCATGAAGCTAAGCTCTCAAGAAACCAGTGGGGGGGGGGGGCAGCCTCCAATGCCCTGTGCTAAGCTGATCCATGTCATTGATTAACAAAGGAGTTTAAGATTTGCCTTATGCGATCAAAAATCAATACAGATGCTCGGTATAAACAGACCCAGACAGAAAAAAGTCTCTGAACAGGTTATAGTATGTATATATGTGTGTGTGTGTTTGTTTGTGTGTGTGTGTGTGTGTGTGTGCGCTTCAGAAAGAAAAGAGAAAAAATATATATAGTCATAGGTTTAAAAAATAATAATAAAGTCCTTAAAAAGGAATAAAGTAATATAAAAGCCACAAAAAGATAAAAAATATACAGAACCTGAATACTGTATGTTATTGTGTTGTCTTTGGATCTTTTGACTGCTGAGGGAGAAATAGCAACCACTAAGACACACTGGGTTATGAAAACTGCTGGATTAAACCAACCTATATATTTTAAAAATGTCTTGACTTCAAAATGGAAGTCAAAAGATATGTTACTGTGTGGAAAACGTTATGCTTTTATTTCCACAGAAAACGAAAGGCTGTGAATTCATTCTAAGTTAAAGATGATCAGGTTTGATCAAGGGAGACCCCCTGAAAATCCTGGCTCCAAACATAAAGAAATAAACCTAGAAGAACTACAAGATACGTGATGTATTATTTTACCTGCTCAAACATAAAACAAAAAATCATCTTTGGGCCGGGCGGTGGTGGCGCACGCCTTTAATCCCAGCACTCGGGAGGCAGAGGCAGGCGGATCTGTGTGAGTTCGAGACCAGCCTGGTCTACAAGAGCTAGTTCCAGGACAGGCTCCAAAACCACAGAGAAACCCTGTCTCGAAAAACAAAACAAAAAAAAAAAATCATCTTTGGCTGACTTGTGTACAACACACAGTCTATACTTATATTAATATAGATATGTATGTTACCTTTAAAAGTTTATGTATTTTCAGAACAAGGGGCCAGACACCACTCAAAATGGATGGCCCAGGTAGTCCAGCATCCAGAGCAGCTTCAAGGCCGCTGGCTGAGATGACCCTTACAGAATACTCCAGTCAGGACTTAACAATCATCCTGATTTTCTCAAGGTTCCCCAAAGATTCTGATGCCCAAACATTAAGTATTCTAGAAATGTATGCCCATATTCCCAAAAGATGGACTATGGATTTTTATTATCATTTAATTTTCAAGAATAAATTATTCATGGAGAAACAGTCACTTCAAAAGAAGGCATCAAGGTGAAGTCCAAATGATTCAGCAGATTAATTAAGACTCACAAGAGGTCTGTCTCATGAGTTTAGGCAACTCAGCATGTTTGAGTCCTTTTTCTGTTCTGTAGGGTTTTAGGAAAATCATGATCTTTTAAAATGTTTTTCCTTACATTTATTCATTTACTTCATGTGTACAAATGCTTTGCCTGCGAATATGTATCGTGACATATGTGCATCCAGTGCCCACAGAGGTCAGCTCCCTCGGGAACTGGAGTTATGGAACCACCTTGTGGTTGAGGGGCACCATGTGGTGCTGGGAATTGAACCTGGGTCCTCTGGAGGAGCAGCCAGTGCTCTTAGCTGCTGAGCCATCTCTCCAGCTCCGTGATGTTTTTCTCAGCTGGCAGGAGAGCAGGCGCCAAAGTTCTCACTATTAGTGGAGCTCTGAAATGCCGTCCACCCACAGAGACACCACTTGTGGGAAATCAGCCAGGCAGATTCTCTTTTCTGCATGAATTAAGGCAAGGCTAACAGATGGGACCAGAGTCAAATGTCTCCAGTTCTGTCTTCCATGCGATCACTCCGTAGAATATACAACCAGTTATCCACTTGGTATTTCCTGGTGCCCTCTAGTTACTGTAAAATAATTACCACTCTCTACCTACATTCTCGGCATTTCCAGTTCTCATATTAAAAATTAGGTTAATTACTGTTCAACTCTCCAGGCAATACTCAGCCATCAGCTTTCTAAACTCCACCTTAATTTATGTAACTATTTTCACACAGACATGATCTCTCCTCTGAGTGCCGGCTGCTAATTCCCCCAGAGGACCCACACAAGCCCACTCTTACCCACAGTTCAGACGAAGAGCATAGATTGCTCTTGCTGGACCGCTGTGACATCAGCACTGCCACAATGAATCCATACACAAGTCAGACAAGTCTGTCTGGCTGCAACGCCATTCATCCAAAAGCAGGGATACACACTGACAGTCAAGGACCATCCTGGCAAGAACTTAAAGCTAATGCCAGAGAAAATATATTTCAAGGGCTGGAGATGCATCTCACATACAGTACTTGTCTAAAATGCACCAGGCCCAGGGTTCAATTGCAGCAACAGGGAGGGGTGGGGTGGGGAGGAAGAAGAGGAGGAAGAGGGAAGGAGAAGGAAGGAGAAGGAAGGGGAAGGCAGGAGAGGAGATAGAGAGAAGGAGAAGGCAGGGGAGGGGAGAGGGAGAGAGACGGATTTTATGTATCAACTTTTCCTACTACGCTACAATGAACTTGTCAGAAACTTAAGTCCACCATTTATGTTCTGATGATATGAAAGTAGAAGAGAATGAAGCAGGGAAAATAATGCTTAAAATATAATAAAAATGTGCAAACAATGGCTTTATGTAAATTTGTATGATTAAGGAAGGAAGATTTTGGAAAACCTTTCAATACAGCCACAGAAAGGTGACAGGCTAAATTTAAAATCAATTGTTCAATAAATAAATAATTAAATAAAAATTTCAAACTGTGCACAATAATTTGAGGTCACCTGAACAACACAAGGGAAACCCTGTCTTTTGGAAAAAGTTAAAAAAAAAAAAGATTGCTCTTCCTGAGTCATAAATAAAATGAAAAAGAGCAGGGAAGGGGTAAGATCTGCCTGCTTTCAGGTCCTACTAAAGTATCCTATTTTCATTTCTGGTCCTCTGAGGAAAAGCAACTCAGGGAGCCAAAGGGTATGTGTAAGCTGACAGGTGCATCACAGGGAGACGGCAAGGCAGAAACTCATGCGGCAACTGAAGCAGACACCAGGGGGAGCGCTTGCCGGCTCACTCAGGCTCAAGCTCAGCTTCTAAAACAGCTCAGCACCACCTACCCAGGGAAGGGTACCACCCACAGGTCGGCTGGGCTCTCTGACAGCAATTAGCAATCAAAATAATCCCCCAGCCAGGAGGTGGTGGCACAGGTCTTTAATCCCAGCACTCAGGGAGGTAGAGGCAGGTGGATCTCTGTGAGTTCAAGACCATCCTGGTCTGCAGAGTGAGTTCCAGGACTGCCAGAGATACACAGAGAAACCCTGTCTCAAAAACACCAAAAAAAAAGAAAAGGAAGGAAGGAAGGAAGGAAGGAGAAAAAAGAAAGCAAGAAAGAAAGAAAGAGAAAAAGAAAAAATATCCCCCAAAGGCATGCCCACAGGCTAACCAACTGAAACCCACCTCTTTGGTCACTCTAGACGGTCAAGTCAACAAGGACAGAAAGTTAAAATGAGAAGTGCTGGGTCCGGGGAGAGACGGTGCAGTACATAAAGCATTGATGTGGGAGCGGGGTGGGCTATAAGCCCTGTGCCTGGCAGGTGGAGGCAGAGCAAGCTGGCTAGCCAGACTAGCAGAAGGGATGCGCTATGGGGTCAAGAGCCTCTGCCTCAGTGAATGAGATAGAAAGCAATGGAGGAAAACACCGGCACCAACTCTGTCCTCCACACACTGTGCCCATATATGTGAACATGGACACACACACACACACACACAGACACACACACACCAAAAGGAGATGTTATCATGTTCTTCCACAACAAAAGAAAAAGCATCCTTCTGCAACCATCATGCGCTGTGAACATTTCCCTGGGGCATCATTATGACAGCGTCATTTTCAATTCAACAGAAACTCTCAAATGTCTGTTCTAATGACAGCACTGCTCGCTGCAGTACGTTACATGTCCAATTCCTGTACACTCATCCTCACCAGGTATTTTCAATTTCTACTGTCTGCCAGGCCAGGCTTGGGGGCACACACCAATGTTTTCTCACAGCGAAGCCACAAGAGAGTTGTCAAAACAAAAATCTTGTCAATCTAGTGAACAAAATATTTAATTTTAACTCCATGTGTTGGTTGGTTTTTGTCAACTACACAAACCTGGGAAGAGGGAATCTTTTCATTTTAATTATTTTTTATTTTTACATGTCTGAGTGTTTGCCTGTATGCATGTCTATGCACCATGTGTGTGTCTGGTGCTGGTGGAGGCCTGGAGTTATAAACGGTTATGACCTGGCACATCGGTGCTGGGAATTGAACCCAGGTCCTCTGCAAGAACAGTCAGTGTTCTTATCTCTTCAGAAGAGGGAATCTTAACTGAGAAGATACCCCCACCAGATTGATCTCTGGATAAGTCTGTGGGGCATTCTGATAACTAATGGATGCGGGCGGGCCCAGCTTGTCTAAGAAAGCAAGCTGAGCAAGCCAGGAACCAGCCCCTCTTCTCCACGTCTCTGCTTCAGCTGCGGCCTCCAGGCTCCTGCCTGACCTCCCTCCAGATGGACTGACTGGCAGCTGTAGGGGAAATAAAACCTTTCCTCTCCAGGTTGCTTCAGCCAGTGTTTTAACTAAGAGCGCCCATGTCCCACGTCACGGGGAGGCTTCCAGGACACTCACAGTCACCTTTTCTTTTTAATTAAATATCTATATAGAAGTTCTGACTGGTTCTTTCTTCATTTACAGAAAGTCTAACATATTTTATGATCAGTTCCTCATTTGATACAAATGTTGTAAGTAGATCCTCCTGGTCTGTCAGAATTCTGACAGCTTTACACCTGTTCTCATAGAAACTCAGTTCTTAAAATGATTATTTAGTCAAATTTATCAAATCTTTTTCTGTGATTTTTGCATTTCTTCTTGTTTCTGAACTTTGAAGTTTAAAAAGCAAAGCAAAACAAAACAAAAACCCTCCTTCCTACATTTTCAGATTTTAGCACAGGAGGCTATCTCTGTGAGGCTCTGAGGAAAACAGGGAGTGGGGGCACTCACCAATCAAAAGTCAGGATTTCCCCACTCCTCAGGCTCTGCCAGAGACAACTCCCAGGCATCTTTGAGGGTGCAGAGGGGCAGCTGGAGGGGGAGTCATTCATTTGCTGTTTCCTCGGCTGCCTCAGTCTCCCCAGGCTAGCTCTGACTGGCCCACCCCAACTCCAGCATAAATGGGTGTGGCCTTTATTCCACGGCTGGACAGAGTTTATGAATCCCTTGGAGGAAAATTGGTTTTCAGACCAAAATAATAAGATACTTGATGAGTACACTGTTTCTAAGGAAAAACAACATAATCAATCACAGACTCTGTCAGGAGCAAACCCACAAGGGAATGATGCAAAATTCACAACAGACCGTGCAAGCCTAGCGGCCAGAGCGCGGCTGCTGACCATGCCCTCTGACCTCACAAGTGCACACTCACACACACTCACGCAGTCAAATAAAATCAAAGTAAGAGCCTAGCAAAAATAGGCTTGAAAATTATGAGAGCTGAAATAAAAATCCCAACACATGCATTAACTGCAGAGCGGCTGTAACTATGTGCCAATGTTATTTTATGTATGAGAGTTCAGCTTATGTGTGCCCGGTCCCCATGGAGGCCACAAGAGGCATCAGGTCCCCTGGAATTATAGGCTGTTGTGAGCAGCTCTGTGCGTGCTGGGAATGGAGGCTGGATCTTCTGCAAGTGCTCTCGCCCCCTCAGCCAGCTCTCCAGCTCCGACAATGGTTGTTTCTTAAGCAAAATGCAGATTTTTTTTCAAAGACTCTCAGAACGACTTGAACCTTTAAACTATGTCATGTATGCTGAGCAGTAAAATGCCTACAATGGAACGGGAAAGAGGCTAGCCTGGAGTCCCCAGAACTGGACACACCGTGACCTTCTCCAGCCTACAAAGTCTGCGCTCTCGGAACATCACACCCACTGACTGGACGACACCCGGGGATCCATCGAGGACAGCTTGCCATCCAGTGGAAAACCACCACCGTATCCACGAAGTCGACAACCTTCTCCCTCTCATTCACCTTTGGGCAAGCCAGAAGCCTATGGAGATCCAGTTATGAGTCTCCGTTTCCTGTCCTTTCCCCCAAATGTTGGCAGCCTGGGTTAGTCCTGTGCCAAATAGGTTTGGCAGGGCTGAGATGACTACCACAGCAGCCGAAGTTACCAAGATGACTTTCCCAACCAACTGGACATTTTCTTCCCCAAGTCTATTATGAGAATTACATGTTTTCCCCCCAAATCGTGACTCCTATTCAGCACCAGGAACACTAAAAACATGTTGACGCTTCTTTCTTTGGGTGGTACACGTCACAGCGCTTTCTTCCTCTTCTGCAATCACCAAACACAGCTTTGGACACAAACTGCCTAGCTCTTCCAAGGCCTTAAGTGGGGAGACATGAATCCTGCCTCCTTGGCTGTAATGGGGGACAAGAGCCACTGGGATCCAACATCTAAGCCCCTGCTCCTACTATTCCAGGTGTAAGGGCCCTGAAATGGAGTCTGAGAGAGAGAGGGCCAGGGAGGCACAGATGTGGAGGGACAGCCGTTTAGAGGCCAGGGTACCTTCAGCATGTAGTAGAAGGGGAACCAGGACAGGAAGAGGTCAGAGAAGAACTCGGCAATGCTGAACACACCATATACCACCCAGTACGTCAGCCACTGGGTGTCATCATCTTTGTTGGGACTCTCGATGGCTTTCATCCTGAAAAGCAGCACAAAAGAAAACACACTGTCAATTAGTGAGATCCATTATTGCCCCACAGCCCGCTCTCCAACATCAGGCAAATGCATGAACTGTGGCAAACCAACTCCAGCTCTCGGGAGGTAGAGGCAGGGAGATCTCTCTGAGTTCCAGGCCAGCCAGGGCTACATGACAAGACCCTGTCAAAAACAATAAAAAAATATATAAAACCTTGATAATAACCCATGGGATACCTTTTTTTGTTTTGTCTTTTAAAGAAAGAAACTGTAGCGTAGAGAAGAGAAACAGCACTGCTACAAGTAGCACAGCTGGGTTTACACCCAGGACCACCTCCGAAGCCAGTGCTTACTTCACTAGAGCAAGCCATTTTCTTAACTACGAGACCAATCCACCAGACTGGACAGACCTAGCACAACGTCTGGAGCACAGTGGACAGGTAATCTTTACCAGTTAGTGCATGTACAATGGGCGGGCTGCACCCTCGGCTTTGGAAGGTACCACTGAGATCTTATCCTGTACTAGAAAACTGGTCACAGTGCAAAAAGAGTAGAGAAAAGGTCACGGTCTCAAAGTCAAAATCCCCGGAAGACCACGCTATCCTCCTGCCTGCTTACTTGGGCAGGGGAGGGTTCCACCAGACATGACAGGATGGTGTTCTGAGTTGGTGTTCCAGTCTGCTGGAAACCACAAACCTAGAAGACAACCATCTACGCCCACCCAGAGGAGCTAGGTCTAGTTCCTTCTTGAGATCTATTGTTCAGCCTCTGGAAGGCAGAGGGCAGCCGCGTGCCCTCAGCTGCACAGGAGCTGGGAGTGACGCCACACACCTGCCACACCGGCACTTGGAAGGTGAGGGCACGAGAATCTGTTTCAAGCCAGACTATTGTTCCCAAAGATAATAAGAGGCGGAGAAGATGGCTCCGTGGGTAAAGCGCGAGCGGGGCCTGCGTCCAGATCCCCAGCACCATGCACAGCGGATTTGGTAATGTGCGTCTGACCCCACACTGCTCTAGCAGATGGGAGACAAACACCCACCCTCAGTAGCCCACCGGCCACCTAGCCTGGTGGACACCATGGCAAACAGGAGACCCTGCCACAAACAAGGAGGAAGGCAAGGACTGACACCTGATATTGTCCTCAGACCACTACAGAAGTGCCACCCCCCAACACATACACCAAAGATGACGGAGTCGTATCAAAATGCATTCCAATTCAATTGAAAGATTATAGAATCTCCACACAACACATTTTAAAGGGGGAATGGCCTGTTAAACACATCTTAAATATTCAGAAGCTTTTAAAAAGGACAGCAAAGATGTCCAACATACACTGCTGAGTATAAAACATTCTAATTTTGTGTGAAAACAAGACAGCAAACAAATAAAAGATGTGTTACGTGTGCTGACAGTACAGGTACCCAGAAAGATTCAGAGTACAAAGTGAGTCCTGACACTGGAGTGATAGACTTTCACTTCCTTAAGCCTCTGAGATGAGCGTGAGGAATGGGGCAGAGGAGACTCCATGCGGAAAGCTCTGAGCTCCACACAGTACCACTGCCTCCTAGGAGGCCATGCTCTCTGGAGCTTCACTAGAACAAACACTAAAGTGAACACACTCACTTAACTTCTCTCTTGAGGAACTACTAATAGATTTCCTTACAAACAGTCTTCTCTAACAACGACACGACCTGTGCTGTAGGGATTAAAAGCCTTCGATATTATACACACAGAGAAACAGAAGAGGCGCAAAGCCTATCAGATGAAATGGACTCCTCTGAACTTTCTACTTAATGAGCTGCCAAATATTAACTACACTCAGTCAGGATAGCAGGGGACTCTGAACAAGAGTCAACGGAAACAAAAACTAAGGAAACAAATGGATTTAAGCTCTTTCTGTTGCTCCTCCAGACGATGGTCTGCATCAAGACCAAGCTTCTTCCTTCTGGCTGTCAGAAACTCGCTCAGGTAGGTGAGGGCAAAGGTCTGAGAAGCCATGGCTGTGGAAGCTGCTGGCACCCTGGCATCCTGCTCCCAACCAGGAACTGGAGAGAGGAAGCCAAGTCTGTAAGGATACACTGTGGGTGCCAAAGTGAACTTGGTTATCACCAAGGGCGAGGGGAGATTCCTGAGCTGACAGATTCTACTGGGGCTCAGTAGGCCCCAAAAGCCAGCAGAACCTGAGAGCTTTCCCATCTCTCTAAAGAAAGTGTCGTCCAACAATCTGCTGGGAGCCCGGGACTAAGGCACGCAGGAATCAGTCTTCCTACTCCACGTGTCCTGTAACACAAACACGGACGTACTGCTCTGAAGAAGCAGTGCCCTAAGAAAAACGAGAGCCTGCAGAGCATGCTTAACTTCTGGCCATGAGAATGAAGGGTGCCAAAGAATGCCAGCAGGAACAGATTACCACGATGCAGGCCGTCCTCGCTGAGAGCTTCTACTGAGTCGGGTCCGGTCAAAGTAAGTCTTCCCCAGTAGCAAAGAAATGATCAGTCCCCACCCAGAAAAAGAAGGGAAGAAAGTGGATTTAAAATCCAAACCTTGTCACTCCAAGTTAGTTAGACTCTGCCTGGGGGCGACCTGTTCCTCTGAACCAAGGCAGAAAGAACCACAAGCCACACAGACTCACCATACTGAAGAATAAAACATCCCCACTCTTTCCAACTGTGAATAACGGTGGTTTTTAGCATATGGTTTAAGCACAGGGGAAAATGACAAGAAATAACAAAAATGAGTATGGGGAAAAGGAAAGGGAGAAAATAGTATTTGGAAACACTTGTAATTCGTAGCTTGTCTCAAAGTTTCATGAAGTAAAGTTGGGAAATCCAAAGTATGACAAAATCAGTTTTCCCCTGTAAGCTATAAAAAGAACGACCCTGAATTCAGCCATTACAGTCTCTACACACAGGAACAGGGAGTTGTATCAGTGAAAGCCGGAGGCCAGCAAGATGGCTCGGCTGGTGAAGCCAGCCAACTAACTCAGTTGCATAGGTGCAATGCACTATCAGACCGCTAGCCACTGCATCCAGCACCCTCCGGGAACAAGAGAAAGTGCCACAAAACAAGGTGGAAGAGGGGAGGGCTGCAGAGCTGGCTCAGCGGCCAAAAGTCTTTACTGCCCTCGCAGAGGGGCTGCACTCAGGTGGTTCACACCTCCAGAGTGCTCAGACACCTGCGTTCACACACACCACCCACAGATACTCTCATATGGACACAAGCTTGTGCACACATATAACTTAAAACATGAAAGATTAACTTTTAAAAAGTCAAAGGGGTAAACAGACGACAGACATGTCCTCTGACCTCCACATGTGTTCATTTGCCCTCTCCACACCCTCACCGAATACAAATAATTTCCTTTAAATTGGGCTGTTTGCCAAAGGGTAGCACAGCTGGTGATCATCAGCTCCACGTTAGCCTCTGTTGTCTCACACACCGTTACATAGTTCAGTTACAATTCAGTAAAATGAGTAAGTCTATCTCCAAAGCACAGACTTTACCATTGCGGTCAATCACGCCCATCCTTAGGATCTGAACCAGTCGACTGCATTAGCAAACTGACAGGTACGTCGGCTAAGCATAAACAGGACGAGGCTGTAATGCTCAGAGAAGCAAGGAAACCGGCACCTGTGGAGGGAGGTAGTGCTAGGCTCCACAGAACACACTTTGGAGTTCAAGGTCAATCCTCAGACACTTGAATACAAAGAATACGGATCACAATGTCTGTCACGCTTCTGGTCACCGCAGACACGAGCATTCCTGACACAGCAACACAGTTTTCCCATCACCAGTGCTTCACATACGAAGGCATTTTAGGAGGCTGACAGTGGCTCAGTGGTTAAGAGCATTGGCTGCTACTACAGAGGATTCAGGTTTGATCCTAGCACCTACGTGACCACTCAAGACAGTTTTGGGGACCTGGCACCCTCTTCTGGTTTCTGTGGACACCAAGCACACACATTGCATACATACATACATGCGAGCAAAATACCAATACACATAAAATAAGAATAGTTTTCTTTAAAAAAAGATATTTTAAAGTATATGAACTATTTTGCTCCTATGTAAATAAGGGAAATGTTCTCCTTCTTCCTAGAAAAACAAGAAGATAAAGAACTATGGTGGCCACAAGCTTCACCGTTTTGGGGGTAGGGAGGCACAGGGTCTCTCTAAATAGCCTTTGTCCTTATCCTGCCTGTCTTGAAACTTGCTTTGTAGACCAGGATGGCCTCTAGCTCAGAGAGATCTGCCTGCCTCCAAGGTATCCCAAGTGCTGGTACTAAAACACATGCTACCACTGCCTAGGTCTCCTTTTGCTGCTGTTTGCTGCTTTGTTTTCAGTGAAGAATATGTGTTTTCAAAACAAGAGATATGACCAAGAGAGCAAGAAAGGCTGATAGCAGAATGAGTCAATCAAATTAATTCACTTATTTACTATTTATACCATGTGCCACAAACCAAACAAAAGAACATAAATGAGATGGGTAGTGTTTAGTGGGTTTCTTAACTGTGGAGAAACTATTTTCCCAGTTAACTATACAAAAACAATGAAAAATGGAACTTGTTCCTTTAATCTTTATTTTTAAAATTCTTACTACTTATTTGCTTGTGGGGTGTGGTGTTGTTTACTACGGTGCACATGTGAGGGTCGGAACACAGAGAGCCTGTTCTCTCCTCCCACCATGTGGGCTGCAGAGACTGAGCTCCGGTCACCAGACTCGGTGGCAGGCGCCTTTATCTGCTGAGCCGTCGTATCTGCCCTCCTTTACTCTAATATTTTCTTAAAGGATCCAAGAGCCAACTTACTAATGACAAGCACACTGTGTAAATACGTCCACAGGTAAATCACACCAGGACAACCACTGTCAATAAAACCAAAGGCTGTGGAGCTAAGTATCTCTGTCAAGTATGGTGTCATAAAGTTTAAGTTCAGCCAAGGGGGATGGTACATATCTAAAATTCCAGGACAGGAGAACGGAGGCAGAGGGGTAATGAGTTCCA